GAGCAATCCATTCAAATCCACTTCAGAGCTAGACTGAATTCCTACACTTTCAGGAAAACCAAGGGGGTGCAACACTAAAAGTTGCTTGAGAGCTCAAGGAAATGGAGTTTCTTCAGACAATTTTTTTTGAGCAGAGCAAGGTCTGACCACAGCAGCAGGGCAAGTTCTCTGGTTGCATAGTATCACTTTGCTGCTCTCCCGGGGTCACCACGCATCAGCAGAGTCCTCTGATTGAAAGGAATAAAGGTTGAACAAGGGGGAAAACATGATGCTGTTCTTCATGCAGATGGTGTGCAGCTTTCTGAACCCACTTTATCCTTGGAAAAAAGCAGTATGGAAAAGGTAGATTGGGCTTAATTGCCCGATATACAATTAGTTATGATAAACTAGAGGTGTTAAGGCATCTGCTTTCCCAAGACTGTAGAATTGTTCCTAAATATAATTGATTTAAACATATTTGTGTTAACCTTACAGACAACCAAGATAAACTTTTAAAAGTAAGTTATGTATTACTCTGTACTAAAATAACATAAGCCAATTAGAATAAGAATAAATGGGAATCTCTTAGAAAAGCAAAACTACTATCACTAAAATAAATCAATTCCCAAGATATACCATCTACATATATAAATATGAGACTGTATTTTACGGTTTTGTCTAATTGTTTTAATGAACATAAGTGCTATATGAGTTTTCTAAAAGGGGATGTCTCAAAGCTGCCAACATATTGATGTGCTGTCAGCTCATTCAAATGTGTTATTAACTGGCAAGAGTGAAGCCTTACTCAATGGTATTGATTCATGTAGAACTAGAATGGTGGAAGAAATTGATTTCTCAGGTGGGTCACTTTCCTCAAAGTACCTTGAAATCCTCAGGTGAATATGAAAATATTTATCCTCTTCCATCTCTTATCAACTATGAAAAATAAGAAATTTGTGACTTCATCCTATGAAATGTGTCTCTGTTTCTGTCACTATTGGTACAAGTTGCCAACTAGCACAGCTCTTTCCAGAAGAGGATCTGAAATCTTGATTAGAAATTTGGAGTTACCGTGATGTCGTAAAACTCACTCTTCCCAAATATTCACAAACTAGAAACTTTATAACAAATATTAATCAGAATTTTTTTTTGATCCCTTCTAAGTAATTGACATACATAAGTCAAGAGAAGAAGGTAAATTTCTAAAATATATAGAATCGAAAAGAAACAAGTAAGCAGATGAAGATTTGAGAAAGGTTGAAGATGATGCAGAGCATATATTTTATATGGCTCCTGACTTCAGCTAATATCTTAGTGATGTGTTATGCTAGAGATGTTGTAAAAAATGGGGTCCCCAATAACCTTTTATCTTCATCTAACCCTTGCATAGTTTGCCCATTAAACAGTCTCTGTAGGGTGGTTCACTTTGCGCAGAGTCAGTGAGGTTCATTTTTATTGTGCTGAATCAAAATTCAATCAAATGTACCATATCTTCTCCTTACCAAGAAGAGAGATCAGAGGCAGTGGGGTAAACTGGTCCATCCTCAATTCCCCTCTGCAGTAGAGGTTCAATTTAATCGCTTCTATGAAAATCTCACCTCTCTGACAGATGAGGAAATGAGTGCTACCATGGCAAGTCACCTAATCAGACTTGGGTGCTTGAATATCTTTATTCTCCTGCATTTTTTTTACCCATTCTTCCCTCAGACTGTCTAGGAGGCTAAGACAATAAACAAAACCTAGGTCCCACCTCCAAAATGAGATTTGCCACCCTTACTCCTCAGTTCTTGTTTTTCTGGAACCAAAAAAGTATGAAAAAAATTCAAAATAAGCAAGCCATTTTTATTAAATGGGCTTTTTTATACTTGTTTGATTTTGTTTCCAGACCTCTCTAATTAAATATAAAAGTTTGGAATTAAAAATAATACAGATCAAAAATGGAGACTTGCCCCTAGATAATTCTCTGTTTGTCAAAAATCTTTCTTCAATGCTATCTTTATTCAAAATAAATAAGAAGCGTAAGAATCATGTATTATTAAATAGAAGGTATCTGTGATTTTAAGCCCTAACTCATGTTAAAATTGAAGTTAATGTTTGAGTTCAACAAGTTGTATTGCATGGAAGCTAATCACGTGAAAAATGCTTTCTTCACCATCACCCTGATTCTACAGGGGTTTACATTTCTGCTTCACCTTAACCACAAGAATTATCCCACTAAATCAATGGAATTTGCTTTATGCTTAAATTTAGGTGAATATATGTGAAGTTTGGATCTTAATTAAAAAAAACCAAACAAACAAACAAACAAACAAAACCAAAACAAGGATTATAACAATAGTAAGGCATTTATTGTCATGTCTTTATGACAAGAAGTTTAATTGTGGATTAAATTTTGGTAGATTTTTTTTTTTTTAATGCTGTTGTCTTTTTCTTTAATAGTTCTTATCCTTAGAACTTAGCTCAGCTCTTTTTTTTTTTTCTGTTGCACTCACTCAGGGCAGCTATCACATCATAGCCAGGAAACATAATTGAATGAAGAATTGATTTTTATTGCCTGTAATAAAAAGCAGTTCTTATTACTTTTACAAATTACTCATAATTACAATTGTCTAGAGAATGCCTTATCACCCTGAGTGGAGCTGAAATAAGCTGGATGCACAATAGTACTTCTATGTCTGTGATTTAAAACTTGTGTTCTCATTAATGGCAATGTAAATTAGCACTATGGCAAATTTAGTTCGTATCATTTTACTGGACAGATTCTAATACTGCTGGGGAAGAATCTTAAGCAGACACGCAATTTATTTCTGAGTGGCATCATTCCTGCTGGAGCATGTGCACCGAGTCTGAGAAGTTTCTTTAATTATTAAGGAAGTAGAGTTGTGCAAGTTACACTTCATGAAACATTTTCATTATGTCTTTTAGAGCCCAAGTGCTGGAAACTCTGGAGTGTTATAAGCAGGTATCAGATTTGTTACACTGCAGACATGCAAAGCTAGTTTCAGCACTAAGATTGCTCTGATTAGGTTCAGCAGATATATATTGAATGGCCTTTACTAAAGTCTTGTCTTTAAATTTCACAGAAAAAGCAGCAGCAAGTTTGCACCCACCACATTTGAACATTTCTTGTTTATCAGGCACTAAGGCTAATAGAGAATACATATGGCTTTTTTCTGCCTTTTTTTTTTTTTTTTTTTTAAGTAGAACAGGTAACTCTAGGTCACTTTCATATACTTGATCTGTTACAAAGCAGAGAAGGAAAAGCTAGAATTAATCACAACCTCTCTCACCTCCCTAAAGAAAAATGAATTGTTAAAAATCCCCTGGGCACTCAGTCTTCATTAAGTTCTACTGCAGAATTTTGTGCCTTGTTTAAGTGTGTCTTTCTGATAAATCAAGGTATAGATCTCACTTGATAATAAAGAAAGTGTCTTTCAAGAAGAGCGTAAACCTGTTTAGGGATGAGAGATTGATACTTTTAATGATCTGTTGTATGACTGAGAAACATCTGACCTTCCCTTGTTAAGTAGGGTGAGCATAAATGAGGGTTAACTTTCTGAGGTATTTTAATGCTGAATTATATTTACTAATTTTGTTCATGTCATACTTTATATTTTATGTGTTTTAGCTCACTCATTTAAAACTTACTACCTTTAAGGCAAATATTTATGTTAGTGCTGTGCAAACTTGGACTCATGATTATTTTTTACTAATCAACAAGTTCTATTAATTCACTAAAACCTGCCTAAGGATATAATCAGCAATTTAAAGAACAATTCATACATTAAGCTTGCATGACAGATATCTAGACATATTCCAACCACAACATGCAACACAAACAGGTGGTATATATAGGCATGTGCTGAGCTTCTGTAGTTATTCAATACTGTAATTAAATTATCATATACTTTATTAATGTATATGGTATTTCTAATGTTCTGTGCCTCAGGCATCTTATGAATATGAAGCTTTCAATTCCTGTGTTTACCAATAAAAGCCCCAGTTTAAAGCATAAAAAATATTTAAAAATAAACTAAAAACCCCCAAAAGAACTCCCAAAAACTGAGATGGGGAGTTCCTCACAAAACACAAAAACAAAAAAACCCACAGAACAAAACAAAACCAAAACCTTCCTAAGACCTCTCTCAGGGCATCCTACTTGAAATTTCAGTGAAGAAATGCATACTTAGATCTACTTAACAAAATCTCAAAATACAATTCTACATTCAACAGGAGAATTTTTGGCTGCTAATATTAAAGGGAAAAAAAAAAAGTAAACTATAACCTTCGAGAGGTCTCTTCTAGTCCACTAGTCCTGGGAACCTTGGAGGAGAGAAACTGCTCCTTTACTGGATTCAGCAGACTGCTGTGGATTCTGCAGATTCTTCTAAGGTTTCCCATGGCAGCCTCCTGCTCTACATCCCTGATGCATGGAACATCTGAGGAGACCATCCTTTCTCGTTCCCCATGGACACATGCCACCGGGTTCCCCAATAACATAAATCGTGTATAAGCCATCATACACATTTAGGTTTCAGTTGGCACTGAAGTCCCGACTCTCCAGTTGCTTGTTTTCCAGCTCGAGCCCACAGTGGCCTAGGTAGACAAGTTGGGAGTAAAAGTTGTTCATGGTGGGGTCACACTGCTCAAGTTTTGTCTTTCCATGTCCTGTAGATATAACGGCACTGCCATGACTTCTCTTCCCTTGTCAGTCTCCCCATCCCAAGACTATCTACTTTCAGCAGGCATCCACAACAGAACTGTAAATGTTATTGCTACAGCAGGACGCAGGGAAGGACGGAGACTGGCCCTTAGATGGAACCATGGTGTTGGTTTCTGTCTGAGAAGACACATGGAAAAACTCTCTTGAAAACTAAACAGTATTCCGAGAAACCGTGCTGAGGCTAAGGCTTGTATCAACAGAGCAGCGCTCAGTTCAAAAGCAAAAAATGAAGGAAGACTTTCCCTTAGAGAAAGGACTGAGCTGATTAGGGCTGTGACATGCACTTTCTGTTTTTAAGATGATTTTCACAAGATACTGGGATGGCCGATCACCAGGGTATGCTTAAGTATTCACAGACTGCTGTCAGCAGAGCAGAGCTGAGTGTCCAGCAGAAGCCCCGGGGCCACCTCGGCAAGGGGTCCTCAACACACCTCAGGCTCATCCCACTTCCAAACTCAGACCTGGTGGCACCAACCAAGACATGATCTTCCCAGATCTCTCCAGGCACAGCCAGACCCCTTCCACAGCCCAAGAGCTGGCCTCTGGTGAGTACATTTCTGGTGGACGGGACATGGAGAGGAGGCATTGGGGGGGGGGGGG